GAGTGCCTGGCCGTTGTGTCTATCTGGATGAGGAAGAACAAGCTGAAGATCTATCAAGACAGAGGTCCTCCTGGTCGATCGCAAACCGGATCGGGGTATAGGGTGGCAACCTGTGTTGGACGGGGTTACACTCCCCCTGAAGCCACAGGCCCGCAGTTTGGGAGTCCTCTTGGACTCATCGCTCACGCTTGAGGCTCAGGCGTCGGCGGTGTCCGGGAGGGCTTTTGCACAATTGAGACTTGTGCGCCAGCTGCGACCGTACCTCGCGAAGGCTGATCTGGCCGGGGTGGTCCATGCCTTGGTCACCTCTAGATTGGACTACTGCAATGCGCTCTACGTAGGGCTGCCCTTGAAAACGGCTCGGAAATTCCAACTGGTCCAACGGGCAGCAGCCAGGATGTTAACTGGGGCTCATTACAGAGAGAGGTCAACCCTCCTGTTCAAGGAGCTCCACTGGCTGCCGTTTATTTTCCGAACCCAATTTAAGGTGCAGGTGCTTACCTACAAAGCCCTGAACGGTTTGGGACTACCCTACCTGCGTGACCGCATCTCCGTCTACGAACCCACGCGTTCACTCCGGTCATCTGGAGAGGCCCTGCTCGTGATCCCACCTGCGTCGCAAGCGCGCCTGGTGGGGACTCGAGAAAGGGCCTTTCCTGTGGTGGCCCCCCGACTCTGGAACGCCCTCCCAAAAGATCTTAGACAGGCCCCTTCGTTGGCAGTCTTCAGAAAGACCTGGCTGTTCCGATGTCCCTTTCCAGATTAGGAACCCCCAATACCAAATCCTAGAAGCACTTATAGAATTAATATCACTGCACACCGCACACTGCACCTATTTTATAATCCTACATACCTCCTACCACATCAGCACTTTTAATCCTGTACCCACTACCCCGGCCTGGCCCAGTTTTTATAGTGTCTTGATGTCTCAATGTATTGTTATTGCTGTTGTTTACTCTGCTTAATCTGTTTTTAATTTGCTCTAGGTATTGTATTGTTGTATTGTGTTTGAGGCCTTGGCCTGTGTAAGCCGCATCGAGTCCTTCGGGAGATGCTAGCGGGGTACAAATAAAGTTATAATAATAATAATAAACACACTGGCTGGCCATGGAGTTATTTTAACAGGGGAATAGTATGGCCCTTGTACCTTGCCCCAGTTTAGCATGTGCCACCTTGGCCAGTTCAAGCAGCTGGTGTAGTTGGTATGCAAGATTTAGATGTGCCAAAGCAGTCCTGGCCACCAGACATCTGTGCCTCCAGATCCAAAGCTGAGTCTGAGAATATGGGTCTGAGTCTAAGTCCCAAAACACCACAACTAAATCTTCAGGAGAAGCATAACACCATCTAATGCAGAATTCCAATTACCTGGTCTGTTTTATGACTGAACCTCAGCACTTCCCTGGATTAGGTTTCAGGTTGTTTGTCCTCATCCAGGTCATGACTGGTACCAGGCACTGCTTTGGGACTGGGAGAGCCTCTTTGGCTTGGAATGGGAAGGAGGAATAGACCTGGAGGTCACTGCATATACATGGCACAGCCAAGCTCCAGGTGACTTTCCCTTATGATTTTTGTAAATGTTAACTAGCACTGATTGTTTGCCCCCATTCAGGCCAATATGGGCACCCTCATATTGGGACAGAAAGGAGCGGTTTCATCTGCACATTGAGGGTGGGGCTCACATGACATTTACAAGGCAGTGTTACAAAGTGAAGCCTCCAGCCATGTCATGAAATATGTATAATATATTAAGCATCAAGCACAGTTACACAGACTGTGCAATTCAGATAAAAGACACCAAGTTTTAATAACAGTATTAAGCAAACGTGTGGACAGACATATTTCTCAAGACAGCATTCTTGCCCTGAGATTTCTCCCCTTCCTCTGAGAGCTGTAGAAGGGGATTCACATTAAATAGTGATAGTGCTGCCTTCAATCTATTGCTGTAGTTCCATCGGAATCCTTGGATTTGAAGAAAAGTCGAACATTTTAATCAGACAGGTCATGTTCCCTTCTAAGATGTCAGATTGAGTGGTCAGCCACTTTCTCCCTTCAGGGCAAAGTCAAGTGGTTTTGTGGAAAACCAAAGCCTAATGCACATGTCCAAGGGCACAGCCCCGCTGCCTTTGTCTTGTGGGATCCTGCAGGCCTCAGTACTGTCCCCCACATTGTTTAACATCTACATGAAGTCACTGGGAGAGATCATTCAGAGTTTCAAATTTCAATGCCATCTGTATGCAGAAGACATCCAACTCCATCACTCCTTTCCACCTGCTGCTAAAGAGGTGGTTCAGTTCCTGAACTGGTGCCTGGCAGTTGCGATGATCTGAATGAGGGTGAACAAATTGAAATCGAATCCAGACAAGACAGAGGCACTCCTGGTCAGTTGAAAGGCCGAACAGGGTATAAGGTGACAGCCTGTGTTGGATGGGGTTACACTCCCCCTGGAGACACAGGTTCACAGCTTGGAAGTTCTCTTGGATTTGTCGCTGAGCCTGGAACCACAGGTTTCGGTGATGGCCAGGGGAGCTTTTGCGCCATTAAAACTTGTGCGCCAGCTGTGCCCTTACCTTGGGAAGTCAGACTTGGCCACAGCGGTCCACTCTCTTGTTACATCCCAAATAGACTACTGTAACATGCTCTATGTGGAGTAGCATTTGAAGACTTTTTGGAAGCTTCAATTGGTCCAATGAGTGGAGCGGGGTACAGGGAGCACACAATCCATTGTCATGGCAGCTACACTGGCTACTAGTCTACTACCGAGCACAATTCAAAGTGCTGTCTTTAGCCTATAAATCCCTAAACTATTCTGGCCCAGTTTACCTGTCCAAACGTATCTCCCTTTATGAACCGCCTCGGAGAGTAAGATCGTTTTGGGAGACCCTACTCTTGGTCCTACCTCCTTCGCAGATGCGACTGGTGGAGACGGGAGATAGGGCCTTCTCAATGGTGGCCCCTCGGCTGTGAAACACCCTCAGTGATATCAGATCTGCTCCTCTCTTCTGACCTCTCTCAGGAAAAAACTTAAGACATGGCTTTAGAACCAAGCTTTTAACAATTAACTAGAGCAGTGCAATATGTAACTATGAAAGAATATGACTGACAACGGAACAGCCCTAGACTGTATGTTTAGAGTGTATTTAACTGATGTTTTAATTGATGTTTTAAGAATTCATGTTCTAATGACAGGTTTTAACTGTAACTGTTTATTTGATATGTCCATACGGCATTGAATTGCTGCCGCCTTGGGTGTCTGTCCGTCCACCCCCCGCCCCCGGGGTTGAGAAAGGCGGGATATAAATGTAGTAATAAATAAATAATTAAGGGCACCGGGCTCGAGGGAGGGGCTTCCTTTGAAGAAATGCTCTGAGTTCACCTTAGCTTTAGCTCTTTAAGGTGAAGAAATAAGAATGTATAAAATAAAAATGAATTGGAAAGTGAACTACACGGCAAACAGTGGTAGAGAATGACATATCCATTGAGATGAGTCAGAAATATTGTTCATGCAGTGAACTTGTGCCACTGGGTGCAAAGAGAGGCAGCAAGGAGTGGTGTAAGGATCGTCCTTAGAAAACAACAGATTCCTACAGGAAGAGGTTCACCTTGGCCTGCAGCAGGAGGGGGAGAGGAGCAGAAGGAATTCACACTGGAAGAAAGTCTTTCTGTCCTTAGGAGGAAAATTCCAGGATCTGCTTTCTGAAAGAACTGTGGCATCTCTCCTGGACCTTTTATGGTTGTGGCCCTTTTCTATAGAAGACCAGGGAAAATATTATAAAATCACTTGATAGCTCAGCCTTGAAATGTTTACTCAAAAGTAAGCTCAACAGAATTCAGTGGGATTTACTCCCAATAAAAGCCCAGATGCTCTAAATGCCCAATGATCTAGGAAGCTAAACAGGCTAATCTCTGGTCAATACTTGGATGGAGGACCACCAAGGACTCCCCTGTGCTATATGCACTATTTCATAGGGAGGAACTGCCCAAACCCTCTCTCAGGATTCTTTGCCCAAGAAAACCCAGGGAAATCCATGTCAAGAGGGGACTCACAGCCTCTCTCTCTTACACACAGAAATATATATGCCAAGGGCTCCAGCCTCAGTTGAGGGCATGGAAGACTCTGAATAAGGACACCCTAAGAAAAGAATTAGGACCTCTGAAGGCATTTCCTCAGAGCCTGAAGTTACCATGATGGCAAAGAGGTTTCATTTGAATTTGGTTTATTATTAGGACAGTCACATTGGAAGTGAGGAAGTCTTTTAGAAAACTCTTTTAGAAGAAGGATCCACTGGAGTAGGTGGAGGAGATTCTGGAAGCTGAAGGAAACCATCTTTGGGAATGTTGCCTGAATCAGAATATGGGGTGGAGAGGGGGTTTTGAGGTGTATTCCCCTTGGGGCTCTTGCCTTCTCACTCCCAGGCAAGGTAATGCTTCTGTCATTCTGGAAAGCCCTTCTCTCCTTCTGGGATCAAAAGTCCACCCCATCCTGTAATATACAATGTTTCCCTTTTGAGCCCTGGTGAGGACAGGAGAGTCATCTGCAAACACTGTTCTCTTTCCTTCAGCCTAATCCTCAAGTAGGAAAGGGAGAGAAGAATCAACCCTTGTGCCTCAGCTTACTGGCACACATCCACTGTTAATCTTGTTACAAAACGTTGTGGTTTTTTAGGGTGTGTATGTGGAGAGGGGTGGTAACTGGGGGCCCTTTCCCAAACGTGATACTAATGGAAGAATAGCAACCGATAGGAATTGGCAGAATCTTCCTCCTCTGCAGGAGAGGATCATGAGGGAATGGCCCCTTTGAAATGTGAGGGTGGTGGTCATGGGATTTTAGAGAATCCCCCCCCCCCCCCAAGGCAGTGGGGCCTAAGAGAGAGAATCAGATGAAGGGAGAGAGAGAGGAGGAAGGTGGGGGGAGTCATTGCCTCAGGAGTTGAATGTTAACACTGGATGAATGCCGAGCCTGAAGAAAATAAATATTCATGACTTTTGTGGGTCTTTTCCAGGGGCTCATTCCTGGCAGTTGATGTATGGCTGTGAGCTGAGGAGAGACGGGAGCAAAGGAGGGTATCACCAGTATGCCTATGACGGGAGGGACTACATCAGCCTGGACAAGGAGACCCTCACCTGGACAGCAGCCGATGTCCCAGCCCAGAACACCAAGAGGAAGTGGGAGAGGGAGACACATGAAGCCCAATTTCAGAAGGCCTACCTGGAGGGGACCTGCATTGAGTGGCTGCAGAGATACCTGGTGTACGGGCAGGAGTCGCTGCTGAGGACAGGTGAGGGGCATGATGGTGGTTGGAGAGGAGGATTACAGGGTCTTCATCTCCTTCCCATCCCCCCACATCCATTTTAGTTTTTTGACATTAGGAAAACATATTCCAAGGTGAAAGAGGACACTGGGGGTTTGGACTGTATCTCTACAGGACGGAGGTGGGTGCGGGAGTGTTTGGATACTTTTCCAGATTTTTGGGGGGAGGGGTATCCTAAGATGCAAATGTAGATTGGATTTTCTCCATGTTTTCCTGTTTGGCACCAAAATCATCCAGACAACCTCCCCACACCCACTTTCGGTTTCCGGGCTGAGATAGTTCAGTCCACCCTCTATGGCAGAAGTCCTCAACTTTTTAAACAGAGGGCCAGGTCACAGTCCCTCAAACTGTTGGAGGGCCGATTATAATTTGAAAAAAAATATGAATGAATTCTTATGAATACTGCACATATCTTATTTGTAGTGCAAAAAACACTTAAAAACAATACAATAATTGAAATGAAGAACAATTTTAACAAATATAAACTTATTAGTATTTCAATGGAAGTGTGGGCCTGTTTTTGGCTGATGAGATAGGATTGTTGTTGTGTGTTTTCAAGTCATTTCAGACTTAGGTTGACCCTGAGCGAGGGCTGGGTAAATGACCTTCGAGGACCATATCTTTCCCGTGGGCCTTAGTTTGAGGACCCCTGCTCTATGGATCCCTTTTTTCCATAGGGAAACCCAAAGTTCAGAGATTCACATGAACGTGGAAGAATGTATTCCTTCCCTGCAGGGTTAAATCAATAACAGGAATATCTCAACAGAGAAACTGGAAGGAAGAGCACAACACTGCCCATGCTTTTCATTGAACATCTAGGACAAGAGCACCAAGTACAGCCTGGACTACAACTCCCAGCCAGCTTACCAGCTGTTAGGAACTATGAGAGCTGAAGTCCAAAATACCCGGAGGCCCAAAGTTTGTGAGCCACTGCTCTACATTTCCCTCTTTCTCCTTCATGGGCAAATCCTGCTAGAAAATGAGACAGAAGTGTGGTGGAGGCTCCTTCTTTGGAAGCTTTTAAACAGAGGCTGGATGGCCATCTGTCAGGGGTGATTTGAATGCAGTATTCCTGCTTCTTGGCAGGGGGTTGGACTGGATGGCCCATGAGGTCTCTTCCAACTCTTTGATTCTTTGATTCTATGATTCTATGTGTCAAAAGGAGGAAGAGGGAACAAGGAAACACCTGATCTAAGACTATTTTTTAGTATTCATTTTCATGGATACTTCATATGCGATATAGAGTGATATTAAACTCTCGGATTACAAAGCACACTTATACAGTTGTGGGAATGCACTCTGAACTGCATTTGAAGAAATTGATTATTATTATTATTATTATTATTATTATGTTTATTTATTTCCTGCTTTTGCTGTCCACAAGGAGGCTCACCCGTTTGCGCCCATGAAATCTTAAAACTAAAATACAAACCACTTCGTCTTTCTTTCCCCCTCCTTTTGTTCTAACTGTAAGCTGCCTAGAGGTAGAGAAAGGTGGGATATAAGTATCGTAGATAAATAAATAAATAACCTTTATGCTACAAGAGACTGACACCGCTCCCTCGTTGAAAAACATGTTTCAAATGGTTAGTGGTCAAATTTTGCTTGACCTAAACAGGCCAGATGTAGACTGCAGGTAGCCCACCCCCACCGGTCCCCAGACAGATCTTGGAAAAGTTCCTTTCCAGAACCACAGTGCTCTGGAAGCACAGAAGCCCATTACAAGCACCACTGGCTGTGGCCCTCTGAGAGAAGGATTGGACCTAGGAGATGATGATAATAATAATAATAATAATAATAATAATAATAATAATAATAATAATATCATAGAATCATAGAGTTGGAAGAGACCTCATGGGCCATCCAGTCCAACCCCATTCTGCCAAGAAGCAGGAAATTGCATTCAAAGCACACCCGACAAATGGCCATCCAGCCTCTGTTTAAAAGCTTCCAAAGAAGGAGCCTCCACCACACTCCGGGGCAGAGAGTTCCACTTGGCAGGGGGTTGGACTGGATGGCCCATGAGGTCTCTTCCAACTCTATGATTCTATATTCTATTGTCCAAAATCAATCCAGTGGAAAATAGCAGAGCCATTGACAATCATTTTCCTCTTCTGGCCTTTCGCCCTGTTGAAATTCAAGTTCCCATCAGTGATCCTTTTGTTGTTTTGATGAAAGGTCGGGAGAACAAATACAGGACTATCCAAGACGAGTCTTTTTTTTAAAAAAAAATAATTTTTATTGAATTTTCACCAAAATTGACATGAAAGACACGTACATTCCCCATCACCACACAAAATCCTCCAAATCCCCATAACAAAAGAAAAAAGAAAAGAAAAGAAAAAAAATATAAAAAATAAAAACCCCACAAGACATAAACAACATCTTAACCTACACCCTAGTGTGACTTCCCTTTTTCTTACTTTCCTCTAATTATTTTCTGTCTACCCCTTTTCATTTCTTCTTCATTCGAGCGTCATTTGTTAATATATTAAAAGGGGGACTATGTATATTACTTCGCACTCTCTTATTTAACTTTCTTTTATCCAGTCTCTCCTTTCCATATATTCTTCCATAAGTTTCCAGTCTGTTGGCTTCATACCTCGTCCATTACTTTGCCTTAACCAATATGTTAATTCATCCATGTCTTTAATATCAGTAATTTTTTTAATCCAGTCCATTTTTTGAGGGATTTTTTCCTGTTTCCACACTTTAGCTAGAACCATTCTAGCAGCTGTGGCGAAAAAGGTAAAGTCTTGAGTTTGTTCAGAGACTGCTTCTGGGTTGGGGGACGTTGAGCCTCTTCAGATGGGAACGTCTGATGCCCTGAGATGCCCTGGCGAAACCTGAGGACTATGAGTTAGATGCTATGGTTGAGTTTTTTCAAAGCATCTGAAGGTGGTAGAGAATCCCCTTCTTTGCAAGGGTTCATTTTTTTAATCTTAGGGGGTCCTCTAGATGTGAGTGCTGACTCCATTGGGATTAAAAGCCACAAGGTGTGCCTTGTTTTCTGAAACTGGAGCATTCACCTGGCTGGAAATTGGTCAAGCCCTGTGCTTACTCTCATGTCATCTTTGCAGAGGTGCCAGAAGTGAAGGTGACACGCAAGGTGGAGTATGATGGCATGGAGACCTTGATCTGCCATGTTGGGGGCTTCTACCCCAAGGAGATTGACATCAACTGGAAAAGGGATGGAGAAGTCTGGATGCAAGATATCTACCATGGCCTGGTGTCTCCCAACTCAGATGGGACTTACTACACCTGGAGGAGCGTCACAGTGGACCCCAAGGAGAGGGAACACTACAAATGCCACGTGGAGCATGATGCGCTTCCGAACCCTGTGGACGTGGCCTGGGAGGAGCCTGGTGAGTCATTGGAGGGGGGAGGGGCAAAAGGGCAACCACCCCCCTCCCTCAGAGATACCATCAGTAGCACTATGGACCCCAGTTGTCTACTATTCAACCCCAATGTCACTCTCTCTGCACGTGCCTAGTGGGCCACCCATTTCCATCTCTTACTCTGTGCAAAGACTGGCTGGACTCTTTCTGCCTTTAATCCTGAGTGGCTGGGATGATAATTTGTCAATGTTTAAATTGCAAATCTGGCAACAAAATGCAACAGCTAAACTTTATTATTTTACTATGTGTGTATTTGTTTGAGTATTTAAACTTGAAGCAGTTTACAAATAATTAGGGCATAAACTCTAATGAAGACCCACAAGTAAAAAAGAATGGCGGTGTGAGAGGGGATTCAATCCAGCAGATGCAGGCTGCTCTTCCCTCCCCCAGAGGCTGGAACAAGGGTATTTGGGACATGGAAGGGCTGCTTCCCATCAGCCATTGGGACCGAGGCATCATGGGGCTGTGCCTGGCTGCTCTTTTTTTACAGCTTCTCCCCTGGAACAGAGATTGCCACTTCCAATTCTGCAAACCCTGGCAGATGGTCATGGGAGCTGGGCTGTTCATCGAATGTACACAAACACACTTCTTTTAGCCTTGGTCTCCATGCATTCCCCAGTTCTTTGGCTATCAACAACCTGCTTACTCGAAAAATGAAATGCAAAGATACAGAATGGGGGACAATGCCTGGCTCAAGAGCAGTACATGTGAAAAAGATCTTGGAGTCCTCATGGACAACAAGTTAAACATGAGCCAACAATGTGATGTGGCGGCAAAAAAAGCCAATGGGATTTTGGCCTGCATCAATAGGAGCCTAGTGTGTAGATCTAAGGAAGTAATGCTACCCCTCTATTCTGCTTTGGTTACTCATCTGGAATACTGTGTCCAATTCTGGGCACCACAATTCAAGAGAGATATTGACAAGCTGGAATGTGTCCAGAGGAGGGCGACTAAAATGATTCAGGGTCTGGAGAACAAGCCCTATGAGGAGCGGCTTAGGCAACTGGGCATGTTTAGCCTGAAGAAGAGAAGGCTGAGAGGAGATATGATAGCCATGTATAAATATGTGAGAGGAAGCCACAGGGAGGAGGGAGCAAGCTTGTTTTCTGCTTCCTTGGAGGAAAACAATGGCTTCAAACTACAAGAGAGGGGATTCCATCTGAACATTGTGGTGGAGGCTCCTTCTTTGGAAGCTTTTAAACAGAGGCTGGATGGCCATCTGTCAGGGGTGATTTGAATGCAATATTCCTGCTTCTTGGCAGGGGGTTGGACTGGATGGCCCATGAGGTCTCTTCCAACTCTTTGATTCTATGATTCTATGCTCCACAAAAGGTTTGGTTTTCCTCTTAATTTTTTTCTTCTTCTTCCCATTTCACCTTCAGCCTCCAACTTGTGGCTCATCATCGGATGTGTCGTGGGGGTTTTCTTCATGATTGCTGTGGTGGCTGGGATTGCTGTGTATTTCCGTGAGTAAATTCTGGATGAAATTCTTTGTGGGGGAGGCAGTTTGTGGTGGGGAGGGGGTATTTTTTCCTGTTGCAGACCCTACTTCCCTTGAGGGGAAGGCTCACAGATAGGACGGACTACAAATAAAGTATTATTATTATTATTATTAACCAACATCTTGGAGGTCTAGATGAGTCTTTTTGCCTTCTCTCAGCCACATCATGAGCTTGACTCTCAGCCTGTTAGGTGGGGAATCGGTCTCTCCTGGAGCGTCTAGGAGGCCTCTTTCCTTATGGGTAGCTAGGAAGAAAGGGGAGAACCCTTGTGCAAGGAGGAGGGTGGGGTCTTCCCCATCGGAGAATGAGAAAGTCAGCTTTAACTCCCTGATTCTGTCTCTGCAGAAAAACGTCAAGATGGATACAACAAAGCTGCAGGTGAGTACCACCTCCCCCGTTGGAGGTTTACTCCTGATCAGTGAATGCCATGGCCTGCCAGAAAGAAGCAAAGCAAGGAGAGATATTTAACTGAGAAGAGCGGCTGCAGAAGGCAGCTCCATGTTCACTGGTTGGATCTAGTTCATATTTTGAAGTCTCCTAGATTGGCAGGGGGAGGTGATGTTGGGCATTCTCTATCCGCTGAGCATTGGAACTGCGGTGTTCTCATACATATGCATATGCATATGTACATATATTTGGGTGTATATATATTAGAGCTGTGCAAACATTCGGACATGTTTGTAAGTCATAAGTATTTTGGTGGAATTTGTATGCCACCCCCACCAAATGCAAACTAATCAAAACACCCAAGTTGGTTAATTTTTGTAAGTCTCCATAAGTCAGCTTGTTTTTGAAGCATAAGCAAACTCTCCTGAGAGGCAGAGCCAAACTTGCTCCATCACATGCTCTCAGACCATCAAGACTATGGGAGAGGGGAAGATAGGGGGCAGAGCCCCGGCTGCGGGGTGTTTCTCTTAAATGGAAGCAGCCATGCTGCCTCTTTCGCCATTGTGAGAGGGAGATCAAGGGAGTTAATTCGGTCTATTTTCCACTGCTTTTGCATACAGCCACAGCTTAGGTTCCCTTTAGGATCATTGTCTTTGCATGTGTGGGATTTTTTCCCTTTACAAAGGATTCATTTGGGGGTGGATAAGATTCCAAAAAGCAATAAGGCATTCAGAGGCAGCAAGATAAAACAGTGTCCAAACGTATCAATCAAAAGCAATGTTCAAAAAGCGTGATGATACAATCCAAGGCACTGATTATCCAGACAGGAATCAACCAAATGATGCCTGATCTGACAAGATTTTCTAAAGGCAAACCTTAAATCCCTAAAACTGGTTTCGTTTTCCTCCAGTCTTTGACCTTAACTGACGAATTCTTTCGTATCTATGTAAACATTGGGCCTCTTTGCGTATCTGACTCCTCATTAACTTTAGCAGGTGTCAGACTGTTTTCCAAACTAGAATCTGGAGAGCTCACAGATGGAGGGAGTAAACCTTTCTCCCAAGGCCTGACAGAAACATTCTCATGAGAATCTGCCCTTTGCACCGAAGCCTCTCTGTCAGTGTCTGCATGAAACTCATTGACCAAAGTGTCTCCATCTTGCACCTCAGAGTCAGTCCCAGCATCCCCCACATCAGAAGCAACAGGAGACTGATTTCCTTCCTCATTACCCACATCAGACACAGAAACATCAGGAGACTGAAACACAATCACAGGTTTATTTATTTATTTATTTATTTATTAATGCGCTTGTATACCGCTAATATCTCAGCCTAAATCGGCGACTCATTGCGGTTTACAACACTTAAAAAACAACAATATTCAGTTTAAAAGCATAAAACACATATACAATACAAATTATTGGGCCACCAATAATCATCCAATGCATCTCGTAACTGGAGTCGCAATCCAAATTCATCGTCCATGTTTACCAGTCCTTTAGTCATCATAATTCGTTGCAACGGATTAACCGAATGCTTGTTTAAACATCCATGTCTTCAATCTTTTCCGAAACACCATCAGCGAGGGGGCTGATCTTACCTCTATGGGGAGGGTGTTCCAAAGCCGAGTTCAATCACAGGCTCAGGTTCACTCACAGGCTGAATCCCGACACATATTTGATTTGGAAACTCATTAGAATTTTTCCCTTTGGATTTCTTTAATTAAAAATTAACAAAAATTCTACAAAGTCATTTCTTTATTTCCTTTTTTTTCTGCCACGCATAAAGCAAAAATAGTGGCATATTAAAAATATTTTGGGGTCAAGTGATAATTCTACCAAACTGATCTTTTCCTTTGCCATATTAAAAATATTTTGGGGTCAGTTCTACCAACTTAATCCTTTCTTTTCCTTTCCCATATTAAATATATATTTGTTTCAATTACTAATTCTACAAAGTTATTTCTTTATTTCCTTTTTCTTGGAGGAAAATATGTTAGTCCCCTTTAGAAAAATTATAAAAGCCAAGACTTAGGCTGTTTTTTCCCTCTTTCTTTTGATGGCTTAGTGCATTAACTGAGTTATTTGATGCTGAGAAAGAGTGACTCAGCCACGGTGCTGAAATTGAAAAAAAAAACTCCTAAAAATCAGTGGACATGCAGATCATTCTGAAACTGGAGGAATGATGCTCTGGTTATGTTGTGTCATTGTAGAGAAATTCAAGGTTTCTTGTAGTGGGTTTTTTTCAGTTATTTGTAAACTCTTTTAACAATTTCCCCAAAATCAATGGATGAGCGAAACATTATTAAACTTGGAGGCTTACAGTTGTCAATGTGTCCTATAATTGTAGCGAGTTTCATCCTGATAGCCATAAAAATGATACAGAAGCGAGCCCTGGAAGTGTTTCCCTTTGGAACAAATTGGCAGAATAACGAAACAAAATAATAATGAATTTTCAGAATTTCAAATGCAAAAGAAAATGGACCCCTTACGATTGTTTAGAAATATGAAACAAAATGAGGGGTACGAATTTCATAATTCAAAATGAAGTGGATTTTTGGCATTTCACACACACACACACACACACACATATATATATATATATATATATATATATATATATACACACACACACACACACACACATACACACACACACACACACATATATATATACACACACATATACACATATATACACATACACTCACACAAACACACATATATACAAAAATATGCATATTCTGAAATGTTAGGATTAATTGATAACTCTGTGTATACATGTGTGTACATCTTTGTCTTGAGAAAAAGAGATAAATCAAACTTTTCCTGTCCAAGGAACTGATCCAACTGTCTTTTGTTTCCTTTTCAGCAAGCGACCAAGGATCCAACAGCTCTGGGACAGGTAAGTGTTAAGTGATTCCCACTCCCAAGAGTACAAGCACTTGCAAGTCGAAAATAGATTCCCTACCAAGTCAGTGCTACTGTTTGATCCCCACATTTCCCCACTCATTTATCTCCCAACCTTGTGCCAAGTTTCACGTGATTGAAGGGGAAGCCTTCCCTCCCCTCTCCCGCTGTCCCATTAAGAGCAATGGCCCAGAACTGGAGACTGAAAGGCACGGTCTGGTTCCTATCTGGCACCTCAGGGGCAAAGAGTGCCTAGACTCTGGAATTCCAGCTACAAACATCCCTGTGTATGGCATGAGGCCAGCCAGTGAAGACACAGCCCATTTCAGAGCTTGACAAAATACAAGTTGCAAACTGCTATCCAAACAGAACTATGTTAACATAAACCGTGTAAATACACTGCATATAAACCACACAAAGAAATTACAAGTCTGAGTGCTACTTGGTTATCTCGTAGTCCTTGAGAAAGTAAACTGTCTTCAAAATACAGTCCAAATAAAGTCCAAATAGTTCAGATTGCTGTCCAGTTCAAAATATTATCCAAACTATAATGTGACAAGGATTCCCCGGGTTGAGGTTGCCTTGTTTTGGGGGACTTCCCCTTCTTCAGGATTTTGTCTTCTTTATAAAAGTGGGTGGTTCACCATACATCCCTAAATGGGTGATAACAACATAATAGATATGCCAAAAAAGGCACTCAAACCAAAACATTCAGTGATAACAACATGCATTCCAGTGAGAAAGACTACACACACGTTATTACTCACGTTATTAATGAGACGACGCTGGCCCTACAGTTTGGTCTTCGATAGTGAGCAATGCAGTTACACAGAAGCAAGGATTTAAAGGCAAGGCTAGTTACAGAGTCAGCGGGAATGTAAATTGCAAGTAGATAAGGTAGATAATAGGGCTTATTACAAAAAGCAGCTGAGGTCCAGTCTGTCGTTAAGGCTGGTAGGAAACACTGTGTTTAACTTTAAAATCCAAAATGCTTCCCTTTGCAAAAGATAATTCTTAGTATCCATATGTGGCCTAGTGTGGATTTTTTCTATGATGCAAAACTTGAGCTGGTAGAAAATGAGAATAAAGAGTACTATCATTGTGTTTGCTTTTTTATGCATGAGCGATGTTCCATGATTCTGACCTTGACAGATCTACGTGTCATGCCAATATAAAGAAGGTCGCATGGGCATAAAATACAATATATAGCATTTTCCGAGGAGCAGGTAGTAAAATCATTTAAGGGTATAATCTTCATGGTTGGGTGTGTGAATTGTTGAGTCTTCAAGGATTGGGAGCAGCATTCACAGTGTCCACAATAAGTCCAGCACTTTTAATTTATTCATTACATTTGGCCCGGCCCTAGTTTTAAATGTGTCATGATGTATTGCTTTAATGTTTATTGGTTTGCTTTATGAGTTTTATTGTTGTATTTGTTATGCTGTTGTTTTATTGAGGGCCTTGGCCTTTGTAAGCCGCACCGAGTCCTTTGGGAGATGTTAGCGGGGTACAAATAAAGATAATAATAATAATAATAATAATAATAATAATAATAATAATAATAATAATAAGAAGAAGAAGAAGAAGAAGAAGAAGTATGTCCTCTAAGACTAGGTAGACTTTTTATGGTAGGTTTAGTGAGAATGTCATCTTCATACTGAAGGAGAGGCTCACTCAGTTTTCCTTACAAACCCTCCAGTGTGTCCTTGAGATCATCTTCTTCACCCATTCTTCAATCTAGATAAATTTTTTCCAGTTTCGTTTGCTTGACCACATTCCTAAACATTTCCCTATTTTATTCTCCCTAGTATAATTGGCGGATCTGCCAGGAGAGAGAAGAGAGGAAGAATATATCCACCTAAGCATGTTGAGGATCTCTTCGCTAATCTTCATCTTCTTTCCACCTGTACAAATTTTGAGAATATTTTTGATGTCAGGGAGCTGGGCTTGAGATGATTTAGTGCTTTTTTGCTGCAATCAAGCATTTTGGAAAGCATTTTGCAGCTGAAAGGATGAGCTTAAGTTTTTCATCTGATTTTTAAAAAAATATTTATTGATACTCCGTTTAAATTGAATCAATCTGCTTTCCATAATAGGAAAAAATATCTCAGGAATTAATGTACATTGCCTGCAATCCTGTTAGTTACTTATGCATTATGAGCACAACCTATCTCTTTTTTTGGATGGGTTCAGGGGGATATTCTCTGTCCCTTTGTGCCCATCCAAAACCTGCTCATTCTTGAGGGACCACTGCTGTTTTTGCTTAATGGCAGAATGAAGAAGAGAGTCCAAAGAGGAAGAGACCACCCATTCTTTAAATGTGTGATGGGTTGTTTTGAGAAGTTGATTGCATTTCTAGCTCCAACTTCTCAAGGAGGCTGTTCAGGTCCTGAACCGGTGCTTGGCTGCTGTGACGGTCTGGATGAGGGCGAACAAATTGAAATTGAATCCAGACAAGACAGAGGTCCTCCTGGTCAGTCGTAAGGCCGAACGGGGCATAGGGTTACAGCCTGTGTTGTACGGGGTTACACTCCCCCTGAAGATGCAGGTTCGCAGCTTGGGTATGATCTTGGACTCATCCCTGAGCCTGGAACCCCAGGTTTCAGCGGTGACCAGGGGAGCATTCGCACAGTTAAAACTTGTGCGCCAGCTGCGCCCGTACCTTGGGAAGTCTGACTTGGCCACGGTAGTCCACACTCTGGTTACATCCCGTATAGACTACTGCAACGCTCTCTATGTGGGGTTGCCTTTGAAGACTGCTCGGAAGCTTCAAATAGTCCAACACTCGGCAGCCAGGATACTAACAGGAATGGCACTCAGGGAGCATACAACTCTTTTGTTGCGCCAGCTTCACTGGCTACCAGTCTGCTACCGGGCACAATTCAAAGATGAATTATGGATCATGAATTGGAGAACATTGACCACAAGATGATTTTATTGCTGCTAGTATACTGTTTGATTGTTTTAATTAGTTATAACTGTTGACATTATATGGTAAATTTGTGTATTGTATATTGTATTGTATTTTGTGAATTGTTAGGCATCGAATTGTGCCTTTTGTAAGCCGCCCTGAGTCCCCCCCTAGGGGGTTGAGAAGGGCGGGGTAGAAGCACTCCAAATAAATAAATAAATAAATAAATAAAAGTGCTGGCATTGGCCTATAAAGCCCTAAACGGTTCTGGCCCAACTTACCTGATTGAACGCATCTCCTCCTATGAACCAGCTAGGACATTAAGATCATCTGGGGAGGCCCTGCTCTCGGTCCCGCCTGCATCACAAGCACGTCTGGCAGGGACGAGAGACAGGGCCTTCTCAGTGGTGGCCCCTCGGCTGTGGAACGCCCTTCCTACAGAAATTAGATCGGCCCCCTCCCTGTTGGCATTTCAGAGGAAAGTGAAGACCTGGTTGTTCAAGCAGGCATTTGAATAGGCAGTTTAATGAATATAGGAATACGGAACAACGGATGATGAGATTGGATCTTGATTCTACTTGAGACGCTAATGAGATGTTATATTGATGTTTAATTGTTTACTATGTTGTTGTTTTAATCATATTTAACTGCTTTTATGATATCAAGCATTGAATTTTTGCTATTGTTAGCCGCTTTGAGTCGCCCGAGGGCTGAGAAAAGCGGTATATAAATGAAGTAAATAAATAAATAAATAAATAAATAAATTGTTTTAACTTCTGCAAAATCAGGTTTTTTTTTGGGGGGTGAGTGGGGGGAATATGGGTTGTCATATAGACAAAGACTGAATGTATTTCTTAGGTTGTTGCATCCATAAAAATAAAGCTAACAGTTTTTAAAAAAATATTTGCCTTATGATCATGTATTTGACACTTTAAATGTCTGTAGTAATTTGGACTTCAAAAATAAAGAAAATTTTCCTCCTTTTATCACTGCTGTTGCTTGTTTCTTCACTGTATTGTCATCTGCTGGAGTTTTACCACACTCTACCTTTAGGGGTATTCTAGAATTGGAGTCCAAAAAGTAACTTTTCTAAGGTCTGGCCTCAGCTAGCAAGACCTGACTTCATCACGAGAACAGTTAAAACCAAGACAGACTAACACTCCTTCCGTCACCAGACTTTATGTCTTTCAGCTTCAGAAAAACTGAAATGACAGATTCCAGACATCAAAGAATAATAATTCTCACTTTATTTTACACATTTTTTCTGGCTCCCAAAGACTGGAAAATCAAAAACAAGAGACCAAGCAGCCTCAGCCATTACTAACAATTTGAGTTAGAAATTGCACAGCATTTCTAGTCAGAGAAAAAGACTGTTTGATTGGCATGTAGAATATGGATAGCACCTGGGTCGTGACTGTGAATGTCATGATGCAATAACTAAGGGATGTGGTAATGGCTGAGTCATAACCATGCGAGGGTTATTGCAAAGGGGTTGCATCAGCCAATGGCTATATAAGGAGGATGGAAGAATCCCTCTTTCTCTCTCCTGTGTGACTTAGCATGAGTATCTGCCTGTATGTGACTACTCTGATTGTTACAAGACAAGAAAGAGGATCTGTGAATCCTGATTGTATATTTGTATACATTGCAACAGTGAAGATTAAAGCTTCCAGATATTTTGGACAAAAACCTGAATCTCTGAGTTTACTAAAGGTCAGATGCTGGCAGTTGAACTCTGCTGATAGACGAGTTGAAGTGTGTTTTTGCTGTGAAAGGTCTCAACTGTATTATGCTTGCTTCTGGAACACTTGATATCCAGTTTACAGTGGTTTGGGGAGGCCATGATTTGGAAACTATAAATCACGAACCTGCACCCCCCGACAAAAGCATCGGGAATGGGCTATGGATTTGTTGATGGACTCCTCCATCTTCACCCAAAATATTTTGCTGTAGGGAAGAAAAAAGAAGTAGGATTTGTGGGGATTTGTAAAAAGGCACCATGGTGTAATGCAGTGGTTCTCAACCTGTGGGTCCCCAGATGTTTTGGCCTTCAACTAGAGTTGGAAGAGACCTCGTGGGCCATCCAGCCCAACCCTATTCTGCCTAAAAGCAGGAAAATTGCATTCAAAGCACCCCTGACAGATGGCCATCCAGCCTCTGTTTAAAAGCCTCCAAAGAAGGAGCCCCCACCACACTCCGGGGCAGAGAGTTCCACTGCTGAACAGCTCTCACAGTCAGGAAGTTCTTCCTCATGTTCAGATGGAATCTCCTTTCTTGTAGTTTGAAGCCATTGTTCCGCGTCCTAGTCTCCAGGGAAGCAGAAACAAGCTTGCTCCCTCCTCCCTGTGACTTCCTCTCACATATTTATACATGGCTATCATGTCACTTCTCTTCTTCAGGCTAAACATGCCCAGCTCTTTAAGCCGCTCCTCATAGGGCTTGTTCTCCAGACCCTTGGTCATTTTAGTCGCCCTCCTCTGGACACATTCCAGCTTGTCAATATCTCTCTTCAATTGTGGTGCCCAGAATTGGACATGGTATTCCAGGTGTGGTCTAACCAAGGCAGAATAGAGCACAGGGGGCATGGGATCCCTGGATCTAGGCACTATACTCTTATTGCTGCAGGCCAAAATCCCACTGGCTTTTTTTGCTGCCACATCACATTGTTGGCTCATCTTTAACTTGCTATCCACAGGGACTCCCAAGATCTTTTTCTCACGTCCTGCTGTTGAGCCAGGCCTCATCCTATCTTCTCCTCAAAGAGTTGCCTCTTTCTTCTTCCTTTTTCTACTGACATAAAAAAGAAGCCCCTTTCTTCTTCAGAGTGTTTAGTTTCCTGTCGTAGTCACTGTGAATCGTACATTTGGTATCCCTGCGCTTGCGCAATACAACTTTACGGAACCTTCTAGAAAGTCAGAACACTTTAAGCCCTCAGCTAGGCCCGCCCCCCCCCCCCGAGTATATATAGCCTGAGGGCGGGACTAGCCGGCAGTTCTCTTAATCCGCTCGCGTGTGAAGCAGCTTTGAGAACCTTCTGTCACTGCTATCTTTGACCCTTTTGACTTTGGACTGTTCTTCGACGACTCTTCTGACAAGCCCTCTCATTGACACTGGACTGCTTTTCGACGATCCTTTTGCCAGACCCTCTATTTAGATCTGAACTGGACTGATCTCTATCGATTTTTGACGCGCGACAACGGTCCAAACTAACTTTGAGCTATGGCGACCACTTCCTTCAAGAAGTGTACCAAATGCCCTAACATCCTGCCGGACACCGACGGGCACACCCTTTGCCTCATCGTCCTCCTCCTGCTCCTCGGCCTATTCGAGGAGGAGCAGGCGATCCCGGGCCTCCAGACCCTCGCGGTGGCGTCGTCCTTCTATGACCCCTCCCTGCCCCGGGTTTTGGCAGATGGGCCCTTCGGGCCAAATGGTGTTCGTGCAGGCCCCGGTACCCCCCGCGCCTCCCCTGCCGATGCCTTCATTCACAGTTCCAGCGACAGCGGGGGCCTTACCACCTCCAGTTGCTTGCCTGTCGGTCCCGGCTGTCCAACCCTCCACCTCCATTCAGCAGGCTCCGGGGAGAGCCCCTCCCTGCGGAGCCTCTTTTGCATCAACCTCGAATGACTCTAGTGTGCGTGCTGTGTCATCTGTGCCAGCCTCATCTTTACCTGTGCCGGCTATGCCTACCTACACCCAGGACAGACTGCCAGGGGACAATGTCACCACTTTGGCTGTTTCACAAGCCAACTTCCAAGGTGATTCCACCCCCATGGGGCCATCTAGGACATCCCTGCCTGAAGGCTCTGAACAGAGGGCCGCTGAACTGGCTAGCTCTGACTCTGACCATGAACAATTGGATAATGCTCATGTTGGGGAGGGGGAAAATGCCTCATTTATTCACCCTGCTGAATTCAATAAGTTTGCAGCACTTATTGATAGAATGATAAAGGCTCTGAACATCCCCGCTCCCAAACCTCCCGAGCATGTGGAGGATCCGATGTTCCCGTCAGAGGAGCAGGTTGTAACCCCCGCGTCACCTCTCCCGGTCCTCCCCTACCTTCTGAAGTTAGCTAGGGTGTCTGATATGTCCCCCTCCTTGGTCCCCGCCATCCCACGGCGTTTGGACCTACTATATAAAATCGATGTGACATCGGCAAAATGGGTGACAGCCCCTCCAAAACCAAACACCGTGGTGGCCGAGGTAGCGAAGACCAAAAGACCCAAAAATTCACTTACCGCCCCCCCTGACAGGGAGGGCAAAAAGATCGATGCTCTGGGACGGAAAGCCCATCTCTCAGCAGGGCTATTTACCCGGATGGCCCACTATGTTACTTATGCCAGTGGTTACCAAACCTTCTTATGGGGAAAGATGTTGGAATACATTGAATTGCTGCCAGCCGACCAACAACGCTTTCCGAAAGCGTTGCAGGCGGAGGCACTGATATTGTCTAAAATGCAGAAAGACTCGGCAAAACATATGGCCGAGGCCGCAGGCAACCTATATTCCACCGCAACTTCACTAAGGAGACATGCGTGGCTGCGTGCTTCTAACTTATCGGAGGAGGGGAAGGCCCTCGCGGAGGACCTTCCCTTCCACGAGGATGGCCTCTTCAATCCCCAAACAGATGATAGAATGAAACAGAAGCAAGACGTTAGGCAGGCAGCGGGCAAATTCGGATATGTCTGGCAGCCCTACCCCCAACACCGGCAAAAGTGGAATTCACCCTCCTCAGGTTTCCGTAGAAACTATGGCAACTCCTATGGGAACTCCTTCAGGGCTAGAAATAATAACTCCTCCAGGTTCCAGGGCGGGCGTCGGGGCCCCTATTTCCAGAGGTCCCGTAACCAATCCTTTGGTAACAAATCCAAGACCCAGCAAGGGCCCAAGAAGCGTCTTTGACGCATCGGCCCCCGAAATTGCTCAGGGGACGCCTGCTGTGCCTTCCCCTAGTTCTGTTGTTTCGGCTTTTGTTGTTCCAACCATTTCGCCTACGAGCACCCCTTTGTTTGAAGACAGGTTATTCCCATTCCGTCAGGCTTGGTCTAACATTACCACTGATGTCTGGGTATTGTCTATTGTTACTCAGGGTTATGAAATTGAGTTCTGTGACCTACCCAGGGTGGGCCTTGTCAGGCGTACTTTGCCGTCGGCTCCGTTATTGGATGAGATTCAACTGTTACTGGATAAAGGGGCGGTTTCCCCCTTGGATCCTTCGATGTTCCCATATTGTTTCTTTTCCCGTTACTTCTTGGTCGCCAAACGTGGAGGTGGGCTGCGACCCATCCTTGATCTCAGACAGTTAAATAAACATATTCGACCGAAAAAGTTTAGAATGGTCACTCTT